ATATTTTACTTGTAAATACACTATTATTTTTGTGGATTATCTGCAAATCTTGGAATTACAAGTAGTGGATGCTCCTTCACTCTAAATAAGCCATTGACATTATTATTTTTGTTTTATTACTTTTAGGCATTTTCAATAAGTTTTGTTTGATTATTTTTGTTTATATTTCGTATTGGCACTTTCAATAAGTTCAATTGTTAATTTATTTCATTAGGCATCTTCAATAAGTCCTGTTAATTACTTTGAAACTATTTGTCAATTTCTTTAATTCTTTTTATCTTTTTGCTTTATTTTTCTATTCATTTCTATTCTTTATTGATAATATTTAGTTAGTTTGCGTACAAGCTACCACAGGAAACCTTTAGAACCTTTAGTGAATTCCATTAATTGTAATTCATTCAGTCTTTGTTCTTTTACTGTTATGTTACTTTGTTAATTTATTAATTTCAACAATTCTTGAATTAACAAGAACAGTAAGTTGATAATTTGTAGTTCTTGAAATGCTTTCACTATCTTTGCATCATTATCACTTACACCAATAATAATTCATTCTTGTAGATTAATATGTCAATAATCAAGTATATGTTGTAATTTCACCACTATATTTATATCAATATAATTAAAAAATTGTGAAAAATTACAAATAATTCAAATAATGCAAAATTTTATTATAATAATTAATTTTAATTTTTAAAAACTAATATCTAACAAAATTTTTTTAATAAATTTAATAAATAATAAAATTATTTTATTTAATTTCTTTTTAAATATGAAAATAAAAAAATATATATAATTTAACAAGTATTATTAAAATTAAAAACTATATAAAAATAAATAATATAGCAAAATTTTGCAATATTTTTTATTAAAATACTGAAAGATTTTTTGAAATACAAATTTTTCAAAAACATTTTTTATGTTACACATAATCTTACAATTTGATTGGTTGATCACTAATAAAAAATATCTAGATTTAAAAAATAGGATTTTTAAAGATAATTCTGAACTCTTTAGGTGACCTTAACCCTAACTTTTAATTTGGATTGTACCATACTATAAAATATAAAAATTACAATATAATTCAAATTATAATAGTAACCGATTCTTGAGGTCTGATTTTTGTTAATGAATAATTTATTACTTCAAGAAAGCAAAAAAAAAAACTAAATGAAAAGCTCATTTATCCCGATTTGATCTTTATATATACCATTTCTCCCATCGTGCTCTTTCTTCTTCATTACCCTCAAACACGAAATCAATTTTTTTAATCTAATAAAAGTGGAATTAAAATAAGTATTTCGCAAGCGGAATAGTTCATAACATCAATCTAAAATATATATTCATAATGTACCTCTTCAAAACCTTCTTCTAATTGCGGCTCCATAAAGCGAGCCTTATACGTATTGTACGCGATATCGGGGATTAATCGGCTCTTAGAATTCAACTTCTAAAAGAATAGATTTATTATTAAAAAATGATGACATCAAAGCAAAATAAAATTACTTCCGGAAAATATTTTTATACTTGTAAGTTTCCAAAAGCTCTATACATATTATTGTGCTTCGAGAGAGCTTCCGGGCTCTGAAGCCAAAAACACCGTGCTGGGGCTTTATACTTTGTAGCAAGATCGATCCAAGTTTTTCGACTTTCAATATCTGGATTTGTATTATCTATGGTAAAGTAATTATATTAATAACAGATATTTCTAGAAAGAAATAAATATAATATATCTTTCAATTTTCAATTACCTATTACTACTGGTTTTTCCTCTCGTAGAGCTTGCTCGCAAGCTTTAATACATTTCGCTTTGGTTTTCATTTGATCCTATTTACAATAGGATGAGTTAAACAATTAATTATTATATTAAAATCAATATATAAAAATCTAATAATTAAAATACCAGATTCACATAAGCATATCCTTGAGAAACCAAATATCTGGCTAAAGTTGATTTTCCACTAGCGGGATATCCAGTTAGTACTATGACTTCACAATGGTTATCATTTGATACTAATAATGATTTATCAAAGTCTAAAAGTGTATTTAGATAAAATATTAGAAAAAATGATGCGAATAATAAAGTAATTTATTGAATAAAAATACCTTTATGAGGCCACGTTTTAGGATCAAAATCGCCATAAGAATAAGTGCCAGTTTTTTCGTTAACAAAGAATTCTTCCGGAGTGAAAAATTTTACTTTGATATTGTCGGCGAATTTTCTAGGTTTAAAATTGATGTATATATTAAGCTTTAATACAGGTTAACCATATGGAAAAAGCTCAAAAAAGAAAGGTAGAGAAATACTACAAATCACTATCTGCCCAATCTTTGAGAGCACCGGGTTTCCAGCCGTCTATTCGTCCAGCTGCATCACCGACATAAAAACTATTCTCTAAATCTATCCAATGAAAAATTCGAATGAATAAATATCTTAAATAAAAATTATAACATATAATATTTACCAACAGGAATTCCTTCATTCTGATTATTAACGAAGTAATCCCATGCCCCAGACATAGGCTTACGGAATATGTCTTTAGAAGTTCCCGCCAATATTTGGAAAGGAATTTGAATCTAATTTTGATGGTATTAATACAAAAACATGAATATAAATGAAATAAGAACGTCATAATAAAATAAATTACCTTATTAGCAATCTGTTGAATTTTATCCTTGAATTGGTTTCTTTTTTTTTCGTTATCTTTTTTATCAGCATCAAAACTACCTTGATTACTGAATATAACAATCTTATAACTATAAGAAAAGTGAAAATGTTATTATTTTAAGCGACAACATCTCAATAACCTTATATTTGCAAGAATAAAGCTAAACCTACCCTTCTTCATATAGTTGCTTTAAACGCTTCGGTACATCTTGATATAAAAACATCCAATCATTTTCGTCTTTTGGAAGTTTATTTTTACCTTTGACTTTAATTAATGTCCAATCCTATTTAATAATTATAAACTTGAATTTAGTAAGACAAGTATAATTAAAAAAAAATACAATTCTAAGTATCTTCATACTCACTAAATCAAAACCGGCAATTTTAGAACGTCCCTCAATCTTTCCACCGTACATTCCAATCAACATCGTTTCATATTCTCGCCACTGAACACTAATCTTTGGTGTGAAGATAGAGAAAGCACGTAATGCCGATTCTGAACAAAGTTTTTTTAGAATCAGAACACGTTTAGGAGCTAACATCCCAACAGTTTCGAGAAGAAAATTATGATTTGAATGATATTAAATCAAACGAAATAGAAAAACAAATATACAATTGACCCTCATTATAACGGATTAATAATTAAATTCACATTATAACGGATTTTTAAAATTTTTTGGTTCACATAAAAACATATGAAATCCATTATAACGTAATTAGTAATCTTGGTATAACGGATTTCAAATGCAACTTTCTTATGAGTCCCAACCACTTCGTTATAATGAGGGTCGAGTGTACATATTATTTTAAAAATTATTAAAGAGAATCGAACATACCCAGCTTTGCCTCTTTCTTTACACGTTCCTCTTCTATTTTTTCCGAGAATTCTTCGTCTGAGATTGCTGAAAATCCTCTTTTGACTTCATTATTAATGGTATTACTATCAAACTTTGTAGAGCTCCTAATAGATCGTCTAACAGGTTTATGATTATCATCAACAGTTGTCTTGGTTGTTTTTGTAGCAGTTGAAAACGATTGTTTTCTGGAGGATGACACAGAGGAAGAATTCGTGTTTGTTGTAGTTGTTTGTTTGGCTTGTTTCGTGACTAGTCAAATTTAGTGCGAAATAATTAAAGAGAGAATCAAACTAAAAATGAAGAGCACCCACAGAATTGTAAAAGACGCGTCAAAATTTCATCTTCCATTTATCCCGTAATCTTTATGCTTACCTCTTTTCTGTGTCACAGATTTATCCATTTTGATTTAAAGAATAACAAAGCAACTCGTTTACAAGATTCTGGTAAAAATTATTTATTTAAAAATGTGTAATGTCTGGGTCAAAGACTATATTTAAAAGACGCGGAAAATCAATCTTATTTTGAATTATGATATCATAGTAATGAGCTGATAATTGAAACATCGTGCGATTTTTAACATTCGATTTTAACATTCGATACACTATTCATTTAGCTCCATATCGATATGATTATGTTGATGTCCTATTAGTATTAATGCCGGCACATCACTAATGCTAGCCACTTGTCTGTCTGCAGGACACAGACGTGGATTTTCGGACATGTCTGCTAAAACAATACCTTATACTGTTGCCGTTTAATTCATATCCAATCCAACGAAAAAACCAATTTTTATAGATGTCAGCACTGCTACTAGAAAACCTCACTAAAGAGACCGATCCTTGGGACCAAGACGATGAAATTTAATTCGGGAGAAGAACGCAGTAATCAATAGTATGTCTGAAATGATTGTAACATTTATTATCCTTTTAATCTTTTCGAAGGATTTTTAATATCCTTTTTTTTTGCACCAGTAAACATCCAACTCCCAATACATTTTTTACACGCAAAACACCCTTCGAGTTGTTGAATGTGTCTAAACTAACAATCCTTGATTTTTATTTGCGAACTGGTACCATGCAATCAGCACTGCCGATACATGTATTTAATAGCATAAAATGCATAATAAACAGCCAAGTCCCAACTAGAGATGGCGCAGCAAGTATGTGATACTTATTTGTCACCCGTTGCAACACGTTGCAACTCCAAAATTTTATAAGCCGCAACTAGTTGCAACTAGGTGATGCTTTATTTGTCACCACGTTGCAACAGTTGCCGCACTATCTTTAGTCCCAACGAGTAATTAGCATGAAGACAAACTTCCCAAACATACGGCAATTTATATTATGAGATTCTGTCCTTTGAAGTTGTAAACTTTTTCTACAAACATGGTGCAACTATCGTTATCTTTTCCTTCGGTGAAAGATATATCGATATCGTATTTTTCGACATTATTTGTTGAGTTTATTCAAATGCAAAATTGGGATCTCTTTTTACTTTTAAGAATCCCTGTTTCAACTTTATTCATGTCTTATTAAACAAAGCTTTAAGATTTATAAATATTCATTTAGTCTGGACCACATTGTGATTCTTGTTCTCTTTGAAAATGATTACACACAGCGTTTTGCATTTTTTACTAGTGTTTTTAGGGCTTATAATTAACTTCAGGCTTTGACAAGCCAGACTAATTAGACCGCAGTAAGACTATCCATAATTCATAGTCACATATTATAGCATGCTTACTTAATTAATAGGGTAACGACAGTAACGATAATGATTTTTCTAGCATTAACGATTAGTTGATATAATGGTTTCTGCACAATGCTTTGCCAAATGTTTGATATTTTATTAGATACCGTAAAACCGCGAAATAACGCACACCTGTGCGTTATTTCGATCACCTGCGCGTTATTTCAATTTTCTAAACACGAGATTTTCAAAATAACGTCCATGTGCGGCATATAAAATTATATACGTAAAGTAGATTTTTCTTCGATCACATATTTTCTATACGTATAAATAGCGATATACATAGTATAGAATACTTGCACATGATAATCATTAAGAGAGTCCAGGCCCCCGGTCTTATATTTTGGACCAGACCATTCACATCCTGAGTTCGCTCACAAGAATCAGTCTTACAATATACATAAACTAAAAAACGGATATGATCTATATAACCCATTTTTATTTTCAGTGCAATGTATGTACACGTGTCATACATCCACTGATAGGTGCGCGTTATTTCGGGACGCCCATGAGCGTTATTTCGAGACAACGTATGCTATTTTTAGAGGATGTGATTTTCGAAATAACGCCCATGTTCGTTATTTCGCAGTTTTACGATACCACAGAAACGCCTTTCTTTTCACAAATAATATCATCTTCTCCCTCCAGGCCACAGTATTCCGCCTTTCTCTTACCTTTTTTCTCACCAACGGACGCTGTACAGGCAACATCTATAAAATAAAATATACGTATATTTTGTCGAAATTCTAATTCTGAAATACCAAATTGCAAAAGCTCCTCTATAGTTGACTTCACCTTTTTTCAAAATACTTTAACGGTTTATAGAATATAACGTACAGACAAACCTCCCTAAATGCACCCTCTATAAGTGCACACCCTCTCTAAATGCACAGCATGGCTGGGTCCCAACTCATAAGAGCTCTATATATTTTGTCCTCTATAAATGCACACCCCCTCTAAATGCACGCTTTACTATGGTCTCAAGGGGGATGCATTTAGAGCGATTTGTCTGTATATTACTGAGTCGAAAAATTTTATTGTTCGCGAATTCGCCTCTGTGGTTGCGAATCCATTTGAAGTTAGACGATCTTTTTGATAGGAAGATCAACCAATCAGATTAAGCCCGCTATGCTGGTAGTACCCTAGCCATGGCGAAAAAAAGTGTCGGGTCATGTGATTCCCGGTCCAACACCGACCCCCTTATAATACATGTATATAATATTAGAGTTTCAATTAGAGTTAGAGTTAGATTTAAGATTAAGGTTATTATATAGCATGTAGCAGAGGGGGACAGAGTGTATAGTAAAATTTCGCAAGGAACCTTTTTTGTTAGAACACAAATGATTGTTTAATATGTAAAATTTCAAAAATAAGCGTTTGTTTTCAATTTTTTGCGTTACACATTGACCTTGCGATTTGATTGGTGCATGATTTTAAGATACACATATTTTCTCCATGGCTAGGGTACTGCGTAATTTCGGAGGTCGGTGTCGGATCGGAAATCACATGATCAGACACTTTTTTCGCCATGTCTAGGGTACAGATATCATATGTCAACAAATATAAAATTAGTACCCTAGCCATGGCGAATAAAATGTACGGTGCACGTGATCTAAAATAAGTCCATTAAAATATCCGATTAATATTAGATATCAAGGATTAGGGTTAGGGTTAGAGTCGAGATCAAGGTTATATATAAAATTGTCTTTCCGACATTTTTTGATAGTGCGCCAAGCTGTTTTTTCTTGTACCGGATTTGTTTTGTCGGGTTGATCAAAAATTTGCTTCATTCCTATTGGTTACGCAGAATTTTTGCGCATTCTTATTGGTTGGATTAGTTCATCATCACGTGCACCGTACATTTTATTCACCATGGATATAAAATAGGTCATTTGATAGAGCTTATAGCTTGAAGAGACATTTAGAGTTCCTGCACTGTAGAATCATTATTTATTTTGTCGCTGTTACACCTACACCACGATCTTGTTAACCCTTTTTGTTTTCACTAAAAATGGAAATTGTAATTACCGGAAGCAAATTCTACGTAGTACCAGATGACAACATTAACGTTATTTTCATCAATCATAAAATCGTAAAATGATAGGATAAAACTCGGCAAAAGTAAAAAAATTGGAAGCTTCTCAAGATATTACTAATCTTTAGTCTTGATATTCTATATACTCTTTGCGAAATTCCAATTAGAATTCATTTTATGCAATTACTTTGGTAACGATAATAATAATGACTTGAGGTTTTATCAATTCACATGTATATTAATCGAAAAATAGGAATGTATACATGCATATTTTTAATATTAATATGTTAGAGTTCAGTTTAGATAGAGAGAAATGATTTTATTAGTTCAAGAAAACAAATATATTTTTAATTCTGGTTAATGCTCAAGACCAAAGTTATCCGAACTTTAACCCACCATGTAAAAGGTCAAAGAACACCTGTTTGTATTCAATTAACTTTATTTCTATGAATACCATTTTTGCTATTATTTAATTATCACTGTAATAATACTATACTAAATCTATCGAGTTATATGTATGTATATTCGGTATTCACTCGCACATGCACAACATGTATGTATGTTATATTGATTAGTGGTATTATTTATCGCACAGAATTATTACATTTCTTTTAACCATAAACTTTGCTAACATGTTCTGTCTGCTTCTTCAACTTTCTCTTCCTTATCACTCCATTATCATTAACTTCCGACGACGACACTATAAATCTCACACCTAAACACGCATCTCCCACATATCCCTCACATTCTTTCCGCTCGCCATCTAATTCTTTACACAAAAATAAAAAATAGCAATCATTTCCTCTTCTGTCCTTTTTATTCTAAATTTTTACGTCGTCTTTGATTATAAATCAAACAACAGGATATAAATTCACATCTATAACGATAATTCACAGCAGGACTGACTAGATTATCCAATTATCCAAATATCACCGAAATATTCCCATACCGATACATATAATTCACAACAAGACTGATTGGTGTAGATTAAACCAATTATCCCCCGAAATATATTCTCTATAAACAGTTTAGAGTCTATCAAACACTTAAACTTCATAATATTAATTATGCCGCCTTATATAAACGACGCTGAACGAGAATATCATATTCCGGAAGCAAGTAAATTCAACGCAGATAAACTTTCTTTTTTAAAAGAGTTTTCGAAGCAATATGGATACGACGGGAGAATTGAGGAAATACGAGAGAAAGAGTACCCGCAATTAAAAGGTAAGATCCATGCGATAATAGCGTGTAACTCTAAACAAACCTTGTTCGTTTTTAATAATGCCATTCTTCTATAAGGTTCAACATATCTTGATCATGCTGGCACGACTACATATCCACAAAATACTCTCTCTGAATTTCATGCAGACTTAACGAAAAATTTGTTCGGAAATCCACACTCAAGGTCTCCAAGTTCAAAACTATCAACCGACCGTGTGGAAGAAGTGCGATTACGCGTTTTAAAACACTTTAACGCAAGCCCTGAACACTTTGAAGTAATCTTCACGGCGAATGCAACTGCTGCAATAAAATTAGTCGGCGAGGTGTTCCCATGGGCACGGGATGAAAGTTCTTACAAGTATCTTCGTGAAGGACACACTAGTCTTTTGGGGTTACGCCGTTTCGCAGAAGATGCTAATGTCCGCGAAATAGTGGCAACTACGGAGAACGATGTTGAAGCAGAGTTCAATATATTTAATAATTATAGAACTTCTCCCATATCGAATCCGCATTTTCTTAATAATATTCCACAAGTTGATTTTGATGGACATACTGATGGCGTGCCAATCATTAACAATGGTGTCACGTATAATTTATTTGCATATCCGGCACAATGTAATTTCTCTGGCATGCGATTTCCACTGAATTGGACTCGAAGATTGAAGCAAACATTTAACACTGCTAATAAAAAAACATTGGTATTATTGGATGCTGCTGCTTACGCAACCACTTCGCCATTATCGTTCGCGGAACCAGAGAATTCACCTGATTTTACTGCTATTAGTTTTTACAAGTTATTTGGATATCCTACTGGTCTTGGTGCATTGGTTATTAAGAAAGAATTGAGTCCTATTCTGAAAAAAAGATATTTCGGCGGCGGTTCGGGTAAGCATAAGTACACACATTTTATCGCTCTTGTTAGATATAATATCAAACGTTATTAATTAACCTTTTTATAATATAGTCACATCATTAGTATGGGACATGAATTGGCAGATGTTTAATGAAAGATTATGTGACCGATATGAAGATGGCACAATCAATTTCTTAAGTATAATTGCACTTAATCATGCTTTCAACGCTGCAGATCGTCTATATCGAGATTTTAGATTTATTCGATCTCACGTAACTGCCCTAAACAACTATCTACAACGGAACATGGCACAAATAAAACATTGGAATGGGGCTCCATTATGTGTTATAAATTCAGATCGTGATTTTTCCGATAGTTCACAACAAGGTCCAATTTTGAGTTTTAATTTGAAACATGCGGATGGTTCTTGGATTGGCTATAATGAAGTCGAACGAATGGCTGGCGAGAATGGAATACATGTTCGTGCTGGTGGTCATTGTAATGCTGGGTCGGTTGCCAGATGGATGGGAGTCTCACCCGAAGATTTTGTAAGTTTTTTATTTATTTGAGCAAAATAATTTGGAATATATAGACAAAAATGTAATATTATTTTTATAGGCAAGCAAAAGTTGTCATGACGATCAAGATATTATTAACGGAAAACCAATGGGTGCTGTTCGAGTATCGTTAGCTGCAATGACAACGATTGAAGATATCCTCGTGTGGCTCGACTTCCTTAAAACATATTTTGTTGAAAGAAAACCAGTGTCTATGTCTAAAAATATTAATCACAAGGGTGTTGATGTTTATGATGACCTTAAAGATCAGGCCTCATCAAAAAATACAATTGCAGAATCTAAAATAGCACTTGAAACGATTATCATATGTAAGTTGCATACATATGATTAATTATTGATAATTTGCTGTAAACACAATATATTTATCATTAATTTATAATTGAATAGACCCCGTGAAATCATGTCATGGTTATGTTATACCATCCTCAAAATCATGGACTATCACACCTCAAGGTCTTTTGTATGATCGTGAATGGATGGTAGTGGATGCAGAAACAGGACGAGCACTAAATCAGAAACAATTCCCTCGTATGGCATTAATACGACCTCGAATTCTATTTGATGATCGTGTACTTTTGCTCAAAGCGCCTGGTCAACCACCATTAAGAATTTCGCTGGATGAATACCCAGTTCTTGGTGTATCTACATGTACATTATCGGCTTCAATGACAAATGAATCGAAAGTGTGTGGTAATAAGATCGATACGTTATATTACACTGCACCAAGTATCAATGAATGGTTTTCGAATTTCCTTGGATTAACTTGTATTCTCGCACGTCAAACACCTAATGAGGACGGTATTAATGATGATGATAGTCTGAAAACTCGACGATTCATTAAACCACATCTTGCAGCACCGGCAAAAGCACCGATTTCATTATCAAATGAATCACCATTCTTGTTGATATCTCAACCAAGTGTCAATGACTTGAATCGAAAGATTCGAAAGTCGGGAAATAAGGAAGTTGACGCCTCTTGCTTTCGGGGTAATTTCCAGATTAAAGGAACATCTGAATATGAGGAGGATGATTGGTCGATGGTTAAACTTGGCAGCCAAGTTTTCAAGGTATTTATTTTTAACGAAGAATTAGTGTTCATTTTTTTATAATATTTTGCATTTTTTACATATTTATTTTCTATTATAGATACTTGGTCCTTGCAGACGGTGTCACATGGTAACTGTTAATCAGACAACAGGAGAGAAAACAAACGAACCTTATCGTACTTTAACAAAACATCGAAAATTTGACGTGAGTCTTTATTAATTCATAATGTTTATTGTTATTCAATAATGCTTTTCATTCTAGTAATAACAAACACGAACTTTCAATCTCATAGGGTAAAGTGTATTTTGGACAACACATGATTCACGTACCGGAATTATCCGAAGCACCATATGAACTTGCACCCGGCGCTCCGATAAAAATATTGGACAGACATATGTCTTCAATGATTTTATCAAGGTTCTAAAAATAACCTTTTGCTTTTATTATTTATTTTTTTCGTTTTCGTTTTTTTTGTATTTGTACCCAATTTTTTTTGTATGCGAGTAATTTATAGAATCCCTGCCCGAATTATTTTTTTATTTGATCACCTTAGGAGGCAGCATGGAGAGGTGATAAGTTGTGCAGTTCGTTGACGACTGCTGCTGCATGTCTTTATTTGTTTGGAGTGCATACACTATATTATCAAATTAAAACAGCTAAAAAGTGAGTGCCTAAAAAAGATGGAAAGGAAGTTATTTTAGTTTATTTGCTATCATATTTAGAGAGGTTTTGGATTTATGTGGAAATAACCAAAGAATAAGTGATTAATTTCGTACTTTTGTTCTATTATACTGTGCTTTTTTACTTTGGGCCGAAATTTTGCAAATTCGTTTAATCTTTTTAATTTTTACTTTAATTTTAATTTTTCCTATAATTATCTATTGTAATTACTGTATAATAATTATTATAATACTATTTTACTTATTATTATTATGAGTATTTTGGGTTTATTAGTGATACGAGAGAGTGGGTTTATGGTATATAATATCGATTGTATCCAATATCGTTGGTGGTATTTTTAGCAGTAGAGATTTGGGGTGGGGAGTCTGTACTTTTTATGATTTCTTATTTTTTTATATAAATACACATATCTCACAGCGATTTTTTGTTCTTTTTATCGATATACATAGATACGACGCATAATTGTGCCCCTTTTCATTTCTGTCACGATCTCGTTACCTTTTCCCCCGCCTTCTGCAATCTCTTTAAATTACGGATCGGCCACAAAATTACCCACAAAACCAAGAAGAGACGATCGATAGCATATACATGTGTACGGATAAGTGTGTACTTGTAATTTATGTTTGTGTGAAATCGGAAAAAAGTTTCTTACAAATGAAGATATTTTTTAGGTTATCGATAATCAACAGTAAAGTTGAATAATGGATTTCCGACTCGTATATAAACTCGCACACATTTTTGATCCTATTCTATCCCATCCTATATTCTCCCATCCCATCCCATCCCAATCCTATTTTATTTTATTTTATTCTTAAGCAAATATAAATTATTTTTATTTGTATATTATATATTATATATATTTGTGTGTATCTTATTGCTAAAATTAATATATAGTAAAACTATAATAATGAACAATTAGAAAAAGATCTAATTTTGCTAATATTCTTGGATAAAATTTACAATTTGTTATATTAAGATTTAATTAGTTTCTATTATATCAAGTATTCATTATATTGAATTTGATTATGTGATAATTATTATGTATATATTATTTTATAAATATTATTATAAGTCAGATTTTATTAGTTAAAAATATCAAATTCTTATTAATTAAATAATATTTTATTGAACAATTATATTATTACATTTAATTGAATAATTAATTAATTAGTTAATAATTATTTAAAATAATTATTTTAATAATTATTTCAATAATTTTAATAATTATTTTGATAATATTTTAATAATCATTTTAATAATTATTTTAATTATATATATTATTCTATTTTTATATTTGATAATTTTGTTATTAATATAATCATTTAATTAATATTGTTATTATTTTTATAAAATTTGAAATAATTATACTTTATTCATATAATTTTATCAAGTTAAAAATAAGAAAAATTAAATTTAATATGAAAGAGATTTAGAATTTAAAAATAGTTAATATTATTATTTTTATAGATTTTAAGTTATTTACATGTTTTTATTAACTAAAAAATGGAAAAAACTAAAATAACTTCATTAATTTTAATAAGTTTTACTTTATAATTTCAAAAGTTATAATATAAAATGATAAGTTTTTTAAATGATTTAATTAATAACAAATAATTTATTATAAGTAATTTATTTTTCAAAACCAAAATTAATATAAAATATAATTTGAAATACTTTACAAGTTACTATCAAAGTTTTATATTTAAAAAGCTTATTATTTTTAAGAAATTTATTTTAAATTACTAGCTAAATTATATTGCTTTTATAATATTTGATAATTTTATAAATATTACTTTAATTATGATATTAATATTATTTTTGTTATAATCTAAATACTAATTTTACTAGTATTATTATACTGATTTTGCTGTAATTATTATATTAATTAGCTATAATTCATGTATAGTGCATAAAATTAAAATTGATTAATCATATAATCTTGTTTCAATTTCAATCTAAAATTTAAATTGATCAAAAAATTAATTTAAAATACTTTTTAAAAAAATTATATGATATATTATTATATTGTAAGTTATAAAAAGAGAAATTAAATAGCAAACTTAATTAGATGTATTAATAATATACTAATTAATATAATAATAGAATTGATTAATTATATTATTACCATTTTGATAGAGCTTTTGAAATACTTAAAGGTATTTATAAAATTTAAGGAATATTCAAAAAGAAACTTTCAATGTCTTAATTCAAAGTATTAATAATACTTTATGACTATTAGACTAAATGTGAATAAGTACTAAAAGTACTAGTGACAAAATTACTTAAAGGTTGATAACAGTTGTATTCTTTTAACGCAATAACTGAACTGCTAAAGAGTTCTCAAAATTTTAATATCAAATATAATATACGTATTAAAAACGTCTTTAAATCTTTGAAGTTAAATATAAGATATAATATTCATATTATCAGCAATATGAGATCGAAGATAAATGTATGAACAATGTATTATTAGCAATACAAAGTCAAAGATAAGTTTATGAGTAATGTATTATTTGCAATATAATCTCAAAGTCAGATTTCTGAATTATAATAATAATTCCTTTATTTAATATAATATTCAATAGACTTTGTCACAACTAAGGATGCTTGCCTAAATCCTTTCAGAAAAATATCGTCATAATTTCGACGAGTTACACACTAATTGTTAATTAGAA